GTGTTCCCGATTGAATTTTTAGCTGAAATTTGGTATGAGTAAACTAGACTTGGTGAATAAGATGCTCAAAAAGTTTCATCAAAAAATTCCACCGGGAACTGCCCCAAATCGCGACGGCCGGACAGAACCTCCTATATAAGGACTTAATTGACTTTTTTATGAAAGTTCGAGGACCTATTTGAGAGTTTTCCCGATTTTTAAATAAGAGCACACTACTTCATTTTTAACTCTCCCAAACCCAAACAAGGAAGATTTATGATTTACACTTACATTTACTTTCTCTTAAAAGCCCTTGCTAATACATCCAAATAGTTATGCTCTCCAAAGCGATGGCGGCCCTCCCGCATCGGAAATAGCAGAGCAAGCCTGGGAGGACATCACTGGCCGAGCACATTCCGGTAGACTTCAGCCATCAAAGGAACAACACCGCCAATCAGCTAATCGGGCACCACTTTGCTTAGGGCTGGGTCGGAAGAGGCATCAATTGGCAGCACTTGGTGCACGCCTGCTACCCGGAATAGAGAAATACACTTGAGCCAATTTTCGGGCATCCTACGGTCAGGAGAAGAGCGTCGCTAGAGGACCTCTAACGCAACACAGGCGTCTCTGGAAGCTTCTCTATTGATCCGATAGAAAATCAGGTTGATTTTTACCTCCTACAGAAGACTTTAGAATCTCTATGGGTTCAAAAAAAATCCAGTTCTTTATTAATTGCAGCTTATTCACATATCTGAATGGAAAAATAGACTGTCATCTTCCATTGATTTATGTTTACATTGATTCTAGTTTTCAATCGGTTTGTTTTATGATGCTCAGTCTCATTGTTGGTTTAATTATTCTCATTAACCAGTTCTTGGAATTTAATCTAACACTTGATTACTATGTTTAAATTTGATTTGCTTTTATCTGTTTGATTTGAGATTTAAGGAAGAGTGTTCAACTTTCAGAATAGACTTAATTAAGAGTGGCCATTTGGTTCATTTTGTTTCGAGAAAGATACTTAATTCCTTTGGTAAGGTTTATTTTTATTTTATTGCAGCACCCGGAGCAAGACTTTCACATCATCTTCTAGCTTGAACTCTATAAACTTGGTATTTTAAGTTTATGATTTACTTTGCTTATGATTCTTACAAATACTTTCTGCAACTTGTGTGTGTGCATCACATTATCTACTTTAGTTTAACTGGATTTAGTTTATTTCAATCAATGCTGGTGTTTGCCAACGTAACTATGTGTAGGTGACATTCTTCCAATGTTTTTTTGTGATTCTTACAATTAACAATGCTTTAAATTCATGTCCTACAGGGAGAAATTAATAATAAATATGAAGCACTTGGTGCTATCGTTTTAATTTGTAGCTGGTAAGTTACTTTACTAATAAAAAATACATAGCTCTCTTCAGAGGCATAGTTTAATATCAATAACTTTGTTGATATATTTTGTGTTTAGATTTGTTATTATTATAACGTAATTAAAAGTTTATTACTCCATATTTTGTTTCAGGAGACGCCGAGACGCGCTCAAAGTTCAGAACTAATAAGAGACCATATGAGTAAAAATACACAAGTAGCCTTTTGGAAGAATATCTAATACATGATAAATCCTCTTAGATTCAATATGGTGAAGTAAAAGCATATGATAGATTGCTAATTGTATCTTAATGTTCAAACACATAAAGAACATTCTCCTTTGACTGAGAAAGAGAGTTGTATCTCAATCCTAAACAGCTTCAAAAATCGGGTTCAATTCCCTTTGACTGAAGATCATGATCACTCGCTGGACAAATCTAGAATAGATGATGGAAATATTCAATCAACCCATTTCTTAATCTGGTTTCCTTTTTTCAACTTAATTAAAATTGATACAAGAATTTCCTAAGAAATTTTGAGCTCACCAAGACTTTGTCGTCTTCTTCGCGTTGCTCTTCGCATCCCAGGATGACCTACCCTTGTTTGACTTCAATCAGTTCAATGAGATCTTTAAATAGAAGAAGTGGGAGAAAATCCTTTTGCACCAAGCAGTGGGAGAAAATCCTTGACTTCAATGAGATCTTCGTGTTGCTCTTCGCATCTGGTTTTCCTTTTGCTTGGCGGGGGAGGGGCAGATATAGGTGAGAAGAAAAACAGGTGTAGCTGTGGTGGTATTAAGATGGATTAGCTGATTGTTGTGCTTAAGTATTGGGATTATTACCGGTTGTACAGGTATTAAGTCTACCAGACTATTTAAAGAAAATGGTGATCAAAGTTGGGACTACAGGGAAATAATCTATAATAAGATATTAAAAGCGGACCGCGAATAGTTGGGATTAATAATACCAATTTTTCCAATAGAATTGGCACTAATGTTACACCAACATTTTTTTATGGGAAAACTGTCAAATAGGTCTTAGCTTCGAACTTTCATAAAATAGTCAATTAAGTCCTTCTATATGAGACTCTGTTCGGTCGTCGCGATTTGGGACGGTTTCTGGTGGAATTTTTTTATGAAAGTTTTTGAGCATCTTATTCATCAAGTCTTAGTTTACTCATACCAAATTTCAGCTAAAAATTTAATCGAGAGCGCATTCAAATTAATTTGAGAACGCAAATATGCACAGTTACCTTCAAGAATTAATTTGAATGTGTCCCCGATTGAATTTTTAGCTGAAATTTGGTGAATAAGATGATAAAAAAAATTTCATCAAAAAATTCCACTGGGAACTGGCCCAAATCGCGACGGCTGGACAAAACCTCCTATATCGCCCCAAAGGCCCAAACCTTCATTTGCTTTTATAAGCTTTTATATATAATTCTCTCAAATGCACTAAACACATCTGCTTCACTCTTAATTAGAGTGTTTGAAATAACCAAATCACAAAAACAGTCTAATATGATACCTAACAATTTTTCAGAGAGTGAAGGAAGATGGACCTCTGCCGTTGATGGACAGTGTACTCGGGGGTAGCTTATCCGGGGGGTTATTATGAGAATAACCTAGAGAAAAGTCAGAGCAAACAAGTAAGAGAGAGAGAGAGGCGATTGTATTAATGAGATCGAGATGTTCTGGTCCGGGATCCTTTACAAGAGGAATAGGGGCTGCTATTTATAGCAGCAATAAATGCGATGAGAGTACACGTGTCAGTAATCTAACGGCCGAGGGGTCACCACAATCGGAGTGGCACCGACACTCGCATGTGCACCGCATTAAATGCGGTGGTTGGATGTGACGTCGCATTAAATGCGGTGGTTGCTTGTCTCCAAAGGGAATCTTCGATGATTGAACTGGTAGACGAAGGCTCTTCTTGCAGCCGAGGGCTCTGTGTAGTCGAAGGCATGAAAGTGCCGAAGGCTTCCCTGACGCCGAGGGCACGAAAGTGCCGAAGGCTCTTGAATTCTGTCATTTTCTCCCACTAGCTTTGTACGCTCAAAACTAGCTGTCCTGTGAGTTTTGGAGCCTTCGGCCATATTGCCGAAGGCTACCCTGGGCGCACCTTGGGCTCCTTTGAGCTTGGGCCGCTGTGTCTTGGGCTTCTTGTGCTTCTTGGGCCTGTTGGGTCTGTGCTAGAGTAGTAGGAGTCTGTGGGCCGGGGGTTCCCGGGCCATATACTCCATCAGGAGTCCCCCACTCCTTTTGCCGAAAGGTACTTGAGGGAAAAAGGAGTAATTGTGGTCATTCTCCCGAAGGCATCCTTGTTTTGTGGGGCGCTTGAATTGTCACTTTACTCTCCGCTGTTTGCCGAGGGCATCCCCTTAGTCCCCCACATGTCGGGGGCTGAGGGCTTCCTGAGTGGAAGTGTTCACAAGTTTGCATCTCATGTTGGTGTGAAGGCGGTTTCATCATTGCAAGTGATTTCTGCGGAATTTTGACAATTTTGCTTTTCCCGAAGGGTGTAGTGATAGTATGCACCCGATGGGTTTGTTCTGACCTCTGCTTGAAGGCTACATGCGCCAAGTGTGAACTTTTTGCATGTAGGAATTTTTGTTTTGTGTTGTTCCCGAGGGGTCTATCCTAGTCCCCCACTCCTTTAGACCGAAGGTTATTCGGGCTGAAGGAGTTTAAAGCGGCGTTATGACCCGAGGGCACACACCGGGAGAGGGGTTGCTAATATGTGATGTGCCGGAGGCTTCTCATTAGTCATCGATCGAAGGCACGTGGTGTAAGTCGTTCTTCCGAAGGCCTTAATATGGGATTGCCGGAGGGTTCCCCCTGAGGGAACAATGCTTTCCTCGAAATATAACCGTTGAAATAGAGCCGTTGGAGGAGGGGTCCACGTGTCAGGTTCTCGTTGGCTGAAGGCGGGCGGGAGCCACCCATTGGCTGAGGCGGCGGCCCGTAATGATGGGTTTTTCAAATCGAAGCCCATACTCCGAGGCTGGGGAGCTTATAAATACCCCATGGCCAGACCTCACTTCCTTGTGCGATTAGAATTGAAGCGAAGCTCTGCCAAAATTTCTAGAGAGAGAAACTTTTTCCCTCGATCAAACTCCATCTCGAAGGTCAGTTCTTCACTTGTTCTTCGTTTCTTTAGCATACTTTGCTATTCCGGCCTTAGATTTAGTGATAGAGCCATTTAGGGAGCCCTCTTCTATAAACCCTTCGGTTCTAGTCTTCGAAAATGTCTTCGCAAAGCGATTCCCAAGACATCTCAAAGGAGCCTTCGGTGCAGTCCGAGAGCATATCCGAGGTGGAGTCCTCAAGCGAGCAGCCCTCGACCAACAACGACCTTATGGTAGCTAAGGAGGTACAAAACACCCTTCGGGCCGAGTTGAAGGCCGAAGACTTCGAACAAGTGAACGAGGACGAGGAGCTGGCCCTCGCAGTTCAAGTCGCCGAGGAGGAGGAACAGAAGGAGCGGCAGAAGGTAACAGTTGTTGTGCTGCCTCCTCGCAATGATGCTGAGGCCGGAAGCTCTAGGCCCCTCGACCCGGAACCCTCTCAATGTGGCTCCGGGTAAGAAGAAAAAGAAGGTGAGGGCAGCACCCAAGAAGAAAAAACAGGTTGCCGTCGATGCGGGCCAACCCGTCGGAATACCCGAAGGGCACTCCTACCTTAACACAGCTGCTTTAGAGGTGAAGACTAAGGCCACACATGCGGAGTATATGGCGACGCAGTTCTTTGCCGGGCGTTCGGCGCAGGTGGTGGAGCCGGGACCTGGTGATGTGCTACTACACCCCCCCGAGGGCTGCTTTGCGGTGCACATCTTGTCCGTGGAGTTGGGCCTCCGGTTCCCACTCCATCCCTTCGTATTGGAGTATTTGCATTTCGTCAAGCTTGCTCCCTGCCAGATCACCCCAAACAGTCACTCATACTTAGTAGGTTTCCTGTCGCTATGTCGGGAGAGGGGGGTGGAGGCCTCGTTAGACCAGTTCCTCCTGTCATTCAATCTCTGCCGGGGGGGGCACGCCAATAGCGAGGGCTTCACTAATCTTCAATAGGTTCCCGAGTGGAGGCTATTCTCTGAGGTTCCTTCCTCCCACAAAGGGTGAAAGGACAAGTTCTGTTTCATCCGGATGGAAGAGAATCCCTTCCCTGCTCCTCTCCGCGACAATTTCCGGAGGCACCCGAAGGTGGGGAATGCTTTCCTTGCTACTCTCCCGGAGGAGCTGCTCTGACTGGGCTTCCGGCGATTGCGATTGGTGGGGGAGGCTGGTGACAAGTACCCTCCGATAGATAGGGTGTACGAGAGTGCCAGAGGTGAATGCCGAAGGCTCCTAGTTCTGTACTTAGGTTTTTTTGTCTCTTGTTCCTTTGCTGTGATCTGACAATTGCACATTTTCTTTTCTTTTGCAGGCCCGGACATGGACGCCAAAAACTTTGCCAAGCTGAAAAAACAACTGGCCAAAGAACCGAAGAAGAAGAAAGCCGAGGGGCCCTCTCAGCAGAGGCCCGTCGAAGATTTTTTCTTGGGGGAGGAAGCTATCAAGGCCCCGGTAGAAGAGGGGCCTTCGAGAAACATCAATGCCGCTGCCGGTGCTGAGGCCGGAGTGTTGCAAACCAAGGCGGCCAAGAGGTAGGCTCCGGGAAAAGGCCTTGTTGCCCCTGGAAAAAGTGCCAAGAAGGCTACTGGTGAAAAAGGGGCGCCAGTGGTTGTGTCCGAGGGTCATTCATCCTCCGGCACTCTGATGATGGTGGTCGCTCCTGCCCCCCTTCCGGACCAGGTCGGAGATGGGACATGGCCCCGGGAGAACGTCCAGTTCTCCATCAAGAAGGGGACCGCCATAATGCATGGTACCCTAGATGCGAAGGAGTTCCTGAATGGGGCTACTCCTCCGCTGGATAGATCGGCCCTCAGCCGGTATGATGATGCAGCCCTGGACTCCAAGCTGCTTCAGGCCTCGGTGACTGTAAGTCTCACTGTTCCTTCCCTCTTGTTAATATGTCCTTAGTTTTTTATTTTTTAATTTGCCGCGGTTTTGACCCTTTATTTTTTTCTTTTTTGCAGGCCAGCGTAGCCCTCAGAGAACATGTCCGAAGGGCAGAGCAATTGCGCCTTCAGAAGGCGGAGTCGGACGAGGCTTTGAGGAAGCTCGTCGCGACTAACACCGAGGCCATCCGGAAGATGGCAACCTTGGAGGAGACCCTTCGGCAGACCAACGAGTTGCTGAAGGCTGCCCAGAAGGAGAAAGCCGAAGCCGAGGAAGCTGCTGCCCTCGCCGCCAAGTCAGCCGCAGAAAAAGCCGAGGAGGCCCAGAAGGAAGCGGTCCTGTAGGCTAAAAAGGATGATGTTGCTTCTTTCCTTGCCGGGGGCTGGAAATCTGAAGACAATAAGCAGTGGCTGGCTTCGGTGGTTGAGGCCACTGTCGATGACTGGGTGGGAGGCCCCGGGGCGATGTGGTTAGTGTAACACCCCCAAATTTCCCGCCCAAAAACATTGATATGATTGAAATAAAACTTTTATTTATTGATAATAAAATTTAAAGAGTACAGCGGAAGTCTAAATAGGGAAATGGGTGTTACCGCCACATCCGGTCATCTCTCAACCGGATGCACAGGCAACTAAAACAAAACAATAAAACTAATTAAATAAATAAATGTTTATTTCAAGACTAAATTTGACTAAGGCAACTTCTAACTCGCTCTCAGGCGCATGCATTCAGCAATCAACATAACCATCATCACCTGCACAAATGTCGTGCAGAAACAAAACAAAGAAAGAAAACAAAAATTAGCTTTAGAGCTAAGTAAGTACATATTATCCAACCCCGTAAAATAATCAGGTTTGACAAAAATAGATTTTTATATAATACTATATAAAAATAACACACTCCATAAAAATTCTCTTCTTCTTTGATCATCTCAAAAATCACTTCTTCTCTAACTTCCTAGTAATTTAGAAGGGCGGTGCTCAACCTTTCGATTGAGCCCGGTGGACCGTGGTTACGGACGGCCACCCCGAACAAGTGCCGGTACCACATCTGCTCTTGTGGAAACGAAACGACTACCTTAAGTGTGCACACCCCCTAAAAGGGATTCCAAGCCCTCTGAGTAGTAAGTCGTCACGAGTAATCGGGACTCAGTCTACCAACTACCCCACCTTTAAAATTCTTGAATGATTAGGGACTACTACTATAACTCTACTTCTTAAAAAGGGATCATTGATCCAATTATAACTGAAAACTTATTCTCACCCTTAGCAGTAGTAACCCTTTTACGTCGGAACTACATACTACTACTACCACAACTCTCCTTCTTAAAAGGGATCATCGATCCAAAAGTTACTCAAAAATCTCTTCTTAGTAGTAGCCGCTCTAATCACCCTCCACATTTATCCGGATGTGGAAAACCGACACCGCGGATTTCTCCCGTGGTGCTCACTTCTTATGAAAACGTAAATTTTATCTTGGCTTTAGATATACTTCTAAAAATATTTCTCAATCTCTCTAAATAATCTCAAAGGTATTTAAAAATATTTAATACCCCAAAAAGTACTCTTGATTTGTATTCATCAAAATCACATACACATAATTCAAAATTCACACTTAATGCATAATAAGCATATAATACGAGGAAACAATTTTGGATTGGCAGAGAAACTTACCTCAAATCCAATGCTCTTATTTCTCTTCTTCTATTCCGGTCTCCAAGTATTCACCTTTTTAATTAAGATGATATAATTAGTCACTTATTCTATTTTTAATAATTTACCCCGATTTTTCCCTTTCACTTTGCTATTCGGATTTATTAATATAATTAGTTATTCGAGTTTATTTTATCTCTTAATCACTTCTTATTAATGAAATTACTTTATTACTTCAGCCATGATTCCTCTTATTGGAATAATAACCGAAATGCATTTAATTAATCAACTTTTTAATTTATTAATCACCATTAATTTATTCTACCTCTAAAATGTCCAATTTACACATCACCATTTACTCTATCCAAATTATATTTTAATACAACATAAACGAATTATATTAACCATTCAAATTCAAATTTCGTAATTAATTTATATTAGTTGACATTATTAGTAAATCCGAATTTAAATTAACTAATCATCATCAACTTAATCTGATTTTATTAATTATTCAATCACTTGATATTTCTGAGTCCGTAATTATGTTAACTTATTAATCTACTTCAATTATTCCAATAATTAGTGAAATAATATCGATCCAATTTTATCGATCCAATAAATTAATAATCTTTGATGAATACAAATCAAGAGTACTTTTCGGGGTATTAAATATTTTTAAATACCTTTGAGATTATTTAGAGAGATTGAGAAATATAATTACGGACTCAGAAATATCAAGTGATTGAATAATTAATAAAATCAGATTAAGTTGATGATGATTAGTTAATTTAAATTCGGATTTACTAATAATGTCAACTAATATAAATTAATTACGAAATTTGAATTTGAATGGTTAATATAATTCGTTTATGTTGTATTAAAATATAATTTGGATAGAGTAAATGGTGATGTGTAAATTGGACGTTTTAGAGGTAGAATAAATTAATGGTGATTAATAAATTAAAAAGTTGATTAATTAAATGCATTTCGGTTATTATTCCAATAAGAGGAATCATGGCTGAAGTAATAAAGTAATTTCATTAATAAGAAGTGATTAAGAGATAAAATAAACTCGAATAACTAATTATATTAATAAATCCGAATAGCAAAGTGAAAGGGAAAAATCGGGTAAATTATTAAAAATAGAATAAGTGACTAATTATATCATCTTAATTAAAAAGGTGAATACTTGGAGACCGGAATAGAAGAAGAGAAATAGGAGCATTGGATTTGAGGTAAGTTTCTCTGCCAATCCAAAATTGTTTCCTCGTATTATATGCTTATTATGCATTAAGTGTGAATTTTGAATTATGTGTATGTGATTTTGATGAATACAAATCAAGAGTACTTTTTGGGGTATTAAATATTTTTAAATACCTTTGAGATTATTTAGAGAGATTGAGAAATATTTTTAGAAGTATATCTAAAGCCAAGATAAAATTTACGTTTTCATAAGAAGTGAGCACCACGGGAGAAATCCGCGGTGTCGGTTTTCCACATCCGGATAAATGTGGAGGGTGATTAGAGCGGCTACTACTAAGAAGAGATTTTTGAGTAACTTTTGGATCGATGATCCCTTTTAAGAAGGAGAGTTGTGGTAGTAGTAGTAGTTCCGACGTAAAAGGGCTACTACTGCTAAGGGTGAGAATAAGTTTTCAGTTATAATTGGATCAATGATCCCTTTTTAAGAAGTAGAGTTATAGTAGTAGTCCCTAATCATTCAAGAATTTTAAAGGTGGGGTAGTTGGTAGACTGAGTCCCGATTACTCGTGACGACTTACTACTCAGAGGGCTTGGAATCCCTTTTAGGGGGTGTGCACACTTAAGGTAGTCGTTTCGTTTCCACAAGAGCAGATGTGGTACCGGCACTTGTTCGGGGTGGCCGTCCGTAACCACGGTCCACCGGGCTCAATCGAAAGGTTGAGCACCGCCCTTCTAAATTACTAGGAAGTTAGAGAAGAAGTGATTTTTGAGATGATCAAAGAAGAAGAGAATTTTTATGGAGTGTGTTATTTTTATATAGTATTATATAAAAATCTATTTTTGTCAAACCTGATTATTTTACGGGGTTGGATAATATGTACTTACTTAGCTCTAAAGCTAATTTTTGTTTTCTTTCTTTGTTTTGTTTCTGCACGATATTTGTGCAGGTGATGATGGTTATGTTGATTGCTGAATGCATGCGCCTGAGAGCGAGTTAGAAGTTGCCTTAGTCAAATTTAGTCTTGAAATAAACATTTATTTATTTAATTAGTTTTATTGTTTTGTTTTAGTTGCCTGTGCATCCGGTTGAGAGATGACCGGATGTGGCGGTAACACCCATTTCCCTATTTAGACTTCCGCTGTACTCTTTAAATTTTATTATCAATAAATAAAAGTTTTATTTCAATCATATCAATGTTTTTGGGCGGGAAATTTGGGGGTGTTACAGTTAGCCCAGAAGGGCAAGGAGTATTATGACGGGGGCGAGTTCTTCACTCAGTGGCACGTCTACCGAAGGCTAGTCAGGCATCATGGGGTGGACCCGAAAGATTTCAATCTGGCGGCTTAGTGGCTTACGGTCTTCCCCCCTTCAGCCAGATACCCGAGTTCCCCTTCCTCCGGGCGTAGACAGACCTGATCTTGAAGACTCTGAGCTGCTGAAGGAGGCCGAGGATAGCGAGGAGGAAGGCGGAGAAGACGCCACCTCGAAGGCTGCTGAGGAGGAGGCTCAAGTAGTTAATACTTAGGAAATTTTCCTTTGTATTTATGTTGTAATAGTTTAGTGTGCTCCCGGCTTCGGCCAACCATGTAAACAATTATATTTTTTGCCTTCGAATATTTGATGAAATGAATTGTGTGCCCTCGGGCTTGTTGATATGGATGTTTCGTCTCTTCTTCATTGTACGCCTTCTTTCCTTTGTGTTTGAATGCATGCCTTCGGTAAATCTTGAGTATGAATGCATGTTTCATTTTCTTCCGGGACCTTCACCTCTTTGTACTTAGACAATTTCTCAAAGGAATACTTACCACTAGCTTTCGGTCATGGAGTAGGACCACCGGAGTGTGACACTCCAAAAATTTAAATAATAATAATAATAATCTTAATCAAATAAAACCATTGACATTTTGAGAGATCATTAATAAAATAAAATAATACGAGTAGATACTACGTACATGAAATGATATGCTTATAAGATCACTTACTAATATATAAAACACACCTAATGAATATATTAATATATACGCAGTACATACGCAACTACATAATAATAAGTGTAAAAAAAAAATTAACTTTTAACACTCATGTAAACCCATGCGTAAATTGGGTATAGGAATTTTGGGCCGACCAGACTTTTAGTCTGTATATGCGATATATACATATGCACCGGCTCAGCTTCACAGGTACATCATACGATGGATATGAAACGCACGAAATCCTAAAAGCTAGAACCTTCCTGTCTACGTGTATATATATACCTCTTTACGATCGAAAACCTGTGTACAGCGTACTATACAGCCAATATACATACGAAGCCAAATTTTTAAAACGTGTCGTACACGAGTTACGTCCTGCGAAGGGAGAAACGAAAAGAGAGCGAGAAAGATGACAGAAAGATCAACGTCCCAGGGTTGGCGGACTGCGTTTCAAGACGGATCTAGCTGCCGTTATCATCGCCGGACCGAACTGCTGTTGCACGGACTGAAGTACGTCCTACCGTTGAGCGTTACGTACGCCGGAAGAGAAGGAACGAACGTCGGGGTTACGTTGCAGAACCTACACCGGACTTTCTTCACCACCCAGAACTGCGCATGGCCGGAGAAGATGATACGAACTACACCGGAACAGAAGAACCCCCAGAGTACCGTTTAATTGTCGCCGGAGAATTAAGAAGGATCGGTGGAGGTGTTCGACCTGCTGCCGACGGAACTGACTGCTGCCGCTGAGACACCGCCACCACCGTTGGAGGGTAGAGTCGATGCCGACTGGGAGCTATGCATGAAGAAGACGATCTTTGATGCGTATGTATGCTCTGCTATTTATTTGACATAAACTATACCATTG